GCATCTGAGATCGGCTCGATTTGAGAAAGGGATAAAGATTTTAGTAGATTAACAAAAAACCACTGGGTGGATTTTTATCATTTTAGGGCGGTTGTGTACACACACTGCCAACACACATTTCAGTTCAAACAACTTGTAAAAGTGCATGTAGCATCCTATGACCCCTTTAAAAAAATGCAGCTTTGGTGAGACTTTGAAAAACATTTTTAATAATAGTGTAGATCTAAATATAAAAATGCATTTCAAAATAAATCGTCAGTGAAATATTTTGAGAACATTCAGATTTGAGATTCTAATGGCTGCGTTCCAGTTTTGTCACAATGCATTGCCTATTCTCAGTCTGGATGGGTATGGGGGGTTTAAGGTGTGTTTTTCTAATAAGAAGGAAAGAGAACATGAGAGAGACCCAACAAAGACAGCCTGCAGTGTGTACATGAGCAGTCAGAAACATTACCACACCGCTCTGTGATTATACCCACCACCACCTCCACCACTGACTGCAGTCAGAACGGCACTGCTCTGACAGCACAGCGCTCAATGGACGGATGCTCTCTCTCTGTGTGTGTGTGTGTGTGTATGCATGTGAGGTGTATTATAACACAAAAGTGCTGCACCATCAAGATGACACCAGTGATAACAGTTTCTGTTCTGAGCCTGAAAAGAGTAAACAATCAAATTTCACCCTCAGACAGGTGGATGGAGAGAAAAATTGCTTGGTCTCTTTCTTGTGTCCACAAAGACACATGCATTTCAAGAAACTGATGTACATTAAAGCTGCACTAAAAAAGACCTAAGAATGAAACCACCCTGGCTTCTGACAGCTCCAAGGCCCAAGTAAGCAGCAGTGCCATCCATCCTCATGCTAAAATCACAAATTATTCCATATACTGACACAAACCTGACCTTGTGGACTGTGAGGTCTTTTTGAATATTTTGTACAGTAGTCATGCAAATCAATGTTTGTGTACAACAAGTTTCAAACCTAAATAAGGGCGTCACCTTGGAATTTTGAAGAGAGCTCTCATTGGATGAAGATCAGTAAGGGGCGGGTCTCCATCACCCAGCTCTATGGCAGTGATACCCAGAGACCACACGTCACAGCGCTCGTCATACGTGGAGTCGAGCTGCTGCTCACATGCGATGACCTGGTCAAATACACAAACACAGTCATTACTGAACTGCAAATGTTTATAACGGACATTGACTGTTGAACAGTGTCACCAGAGCACAGAAATTCCACCGGTATATCTGTTGAACAAAATGTTTCACATATTTTACTGCCATGTTTACTGATTCTAATCTGACTGACAATGACAAATGACAATAATTTTGTTATTTGAATATTAAAATAAGAAAAAAATTAAAAGAAAAATGAATTTATTAAATTAAATTCAAAGAGATTCTATACTGGTACAGGCATTTTACAAAATAAAGCATTCTTTCACTATATAATAATAATATTATTATTTTTATTTTACAGTACGTTGTAATTAGAAATGCACCGATCAACCGGCCACTGTGAGTGAAGAAGACAAAGTTCGCAATTTGTAATACGAGTAGGGCCAAAGTAAACCGTAGGGGAAAAACAGAGCATGCACAGCCTGTGTGAGAGAGAGACTTGTGCAGAAATCAAAACAAACAGCACACAAAGCAAACAGCACACAAAGCAACTCACAGAAAGTTACAGATGCATACTGCGGTGGAAAAAAAAAATAGGCAAGCAACATTATACGACCAAGATGTTTCCCCGAATATCAGCATAATTGCAATGTGACACTGATTTTATACAATGGCAGTTCAATAAACAAGTTAAAATGAAGTGACTTACATTTTAGACACAATACTATTGACTGTTTTTGCTTAATTTCACAAACGAAAATAGTTCCAAAGCCACGGCAGAACGGTTGTGTGTCTCTGTTTTGCTACTAAATGAATCCCCATTTTTGAACAAATCGAGTGAGTCAATGATTCAGTAACCCATTCATCGGCCGTTTCTCAATATGCATTCTTGTCTGTACTTGTGTTCTTGTGGACTTGTGAAACGTCATAAGTTGTCGCCCAAGTACTGTTCCAATTCAAAGTTCACATCTAGCCAAGTACAGTTCCAATCCCCGGATGTGTTCTTGCTCCGCCCCTTTTATCAAGGATGCATCCAGAGGTGACTTGTGCGAACTTGAGGCAGCCAGGTATTCCAAAATGCATTTCGCACCAACCAGCGAGCGTTAATGGCGGAAGAGAAAACCCACATTATTTTCAAAATATTACTGTTATTGTGTCATGAAATGCAGTTCTAAGAGTATTTCAGGCGAGAATGTAGCTGTTTAAAACTCAAACCTGCGGTTTATTTATTAAGATAGCAAATTTTCAAATAGGCGCTTTTCAGCCGATTTTCAAATCGGAGAGGTGAGGTCCACGCGATCAGCGGGCGCTCAGTGCTCATGTATCCCGCCGAGAGCAGCCTCAACTTGGCTAGTCCTTCTGACATTTGCCGCTGGCTCTGATGTCTCTGTAGTGGTTAAACATGAGATATAATTCATTTTGGGTCATCTTTGGTCTCATGAATCTATTATTTCTTCCAGGTCATATCGTTTCGGCTGAGCACAAAGTTATGTTTCATAAATTATTTATTTATTAATCGTAATACAGTGCTGACTTCGTTGCATACATTTGACTGAATTGTTTGCTTTTGTCTTATTTCCTATTATATAAGTCTCTTATACTTTATAGTTATACTTTTATAATGGCTATTATTGTTCATTAAAACTGACATTTAACAAAAAAGGCAGAGTTGTGCTTGTCATATTTCATTTTATTATACATTCAGTGAAGATAATCAGAGTAAATGTGCACATAGTACCTAAACCACATATTAATGTTTTATATTTTTAAAATGAAAACCAAAAGGGTTGTGTTTTATATTTTGAAAAAAAAAAAAACGAAAAGGCAGTGGTGTTTGATATGATTTCGTTTTATTGTAATGCGTGTACGCGTTGCATGAACCACATTTTTGTAGCTATTAATATTTTAAATGAAACAGAAAAGAGGCAATGCTTTTTGATATATTCCGTTTCACTGTAATGCATGTACGTTCCCCGAACTACATTTTTGCGGCTATTAATATGTTTAAAGTGAAGTCCGAACTACCGAGGACGCAAGTCCGAACTTTGCGTGCTTGGTATTGAGAAACGGCCATCCATTTGAATGAATCAGTTGAATGAATTACTAAATGACTCACATTTAAACAACCATTTGCCGCCACCTACTGGTGGTTTCATACTTAACGCATTATTGAATTTTTCCCAACATTTCTTATTTGCATGTTCAAAAAATATTTAAAACATTAATCTTATCACATTATTTATGCCACCTCAGGTTCATCAAACAGTCTGTGTAAATACATCTAATGCTTTTGTTTCCTCTGCAGCACAAAGACGGATTTTGTTAATACTGATTTCATTTGAAGGTTAACAAATCTACAGTGTCTTATTATCCTAACTAACTGAAACAAATGTAAGAAGTTGATGTGAAAGATGACACATACATTTAATAAGGTTAGGGGACAATGCCCATAAACAGTAGGAAATGACATCTGTTCTGTTATTTACAACATATACAGCAACTCATTTCTACCTCTTTCCAGTCACAGAGCACTTTATTTTCAGAGTTGTTTAAGTGAGAGAAGATCTGTAACTTAGTCCAAATTGGGGAAATTGTAATGTGTAACTCTTTCTTTTTCTTTCTTTCTTTCTTTCTTTCTTTATTGCATTGAAAAAGTAGTTGTTTTGTTTGTATATGCTGTCAGTTTTAGCTCTTAGAATGAAAAACAGAATAAAAAATAAATAAAAAAATCAGAAATCGGAATTGGCCAAGACAATTGCAATCGGAGCATCTTTAGTTGTAATACTACACAAGCAACTGAAACTGGGACCTTATAGTGCAGAATAATAATAGTTTAATAATACAGAAAATACATAAGAATATTACACAAACTAAATGCATGTTCATTTTATATTTTTTAAAAATATAGAAGATAGAAATATCATTGAAAAGAGACAGAGAGAGAGACTAAGCAGGGATAATAAATCTAAGCAAAAGAGCTGCTAATAAAACATGCCTTTTTGTGAAGGTAAAAAAATCAAAAACTTATTTCTCCATTTAAAAAAAAAATCTATTTAGACCTCTACATTAACTTTTAATATTGTACCATAAACCTTATGTGGATAGAAAACCGCAGAATGGAATACAAGTGGTCTTACCTCAGAATTAGACACACAAATAAACTGTTCAGCGTCCTTAGTATTTAATCCACGCGATTAATCCAGAAATGAACCTAGAATGTTTCCCACAGATGTTTAGAAGTCTAAAAATGCACTAATAATAAATCTCTGTTTGTGTTTTGATTGTATTGACACCTAGGACAAATTGAGGCACATAAGCCTCTAACCTTGAGTCATATGAAAATTTTGGCTACGACTCTCAAAACAACTTCAGAGCTGTAGTCCTCCTCGCCTGTCTCATATGGAAATCTTATGGAAAAACTATAAGTAAACAAAAACATTTGCAGCCCACAAAGTCACCTCCATGCTTTGCAAACTACTTGCCAACGGTCCTACCTCAGGGGCCATCCAGAAGGGCGTTCCGACCGAAGTGTTCCTCCGTAGCCGGGTGTTTGTAAGCTGGGCCGATACCCCTGATCAGAGGAAGAAACACCAACAAAGCATCATGAAAGGTAGTTATCCGTACAGATTCAATGGATGGCTTCTGGATTCAAGGAATGTCTTTGGATTGTCTGTACTAGCTGAGTGGCAATGGAAACACAATTTGAATAGAGATCAAACAAGGTCACAAAGAAAAAAAATGTGTTGTCTTGGATGCAGTGATCATAGTAACCCAGCACTGACCCATGAGCCTTCTGACTGAGACCGAAAATCTTGACTTGAAAATCTTTTTTAAGAGCTGTGGTCACCCTTCACTGTTACTGTAAAAGCAGAACGGACATTATGCTATATGGGTTTTTACAAGACATGATGGAGAGTAAAGGAAGAATTTTCTGATTTTTGGGGGGTCAACTATTCCTTTAAACGAGTGCAATTTACATAAGAAGCTAAATTATGTAAGATATTAATATTCATTTTCAGAGAATCTTACTTGACTGAAGGAAAGAATGGTGTTTGCAAGGATATACAAAGAGAGTGGTTAGTGTTAAACATCACTGAAAAATGGTAAACTAAAATAAGTAACCGTAAATTAACTGGATTTAAGTCAAAAATATGTTTTACTATTACTTTTTAACAATTTACAACCTAAATATATTCATTTCTATCACCAAAACTACATAATATGGGATAAATCAAGTAGAAGTAAAATTTTGCACTTTTCACAGTGCAAGTTTAGCTTTTATGGTGAGGTCAAATTTGCAGGAAAAAAAACGTCACACAGAACTCAAACCGAGCAGCTTGGGAAATCTATGTGAGGAACTCCTGTGCCCTCAATTAGTTTCCTATTGAAACAACTGGATTTGGTTTGCCAAAATTCGCAGAACAACAGTAAATGTGACCAAAACTTTAGGGATTGGAATACACAATCTATTAACCTAATTTTCTTGATGTGAATATGATAGATTTGACATTTGACTGAGATAAGTTTTACATTTTCATTTTTACTATTCTTATTCATATTCTTATTATGAAATGAATGATATTAGTTGTAAATACTATTATTTTTAAGTAATTCAAGACTGAATTTTGAAAGTCTCATACTTTCAGAAATCTCACCAACATCAATTATATCATCATAATACTTACATTTGAAATCTGATTGGTCTTATTTATAGCTGTTTGCATACTGAATTGCGACTGGTCTTTTCTATTTTGCATCTATGTAAATATCTATAGTCAGCAACAGCTAAATAGCTAAACCAAAGCCTAAGACCTAAACTTACCTAAAAGTAACCCTATTCTTTTCCTTCAGAAAATGCAAATCTAGTGTCATTTGTTCCAAGCCCAAACTTCAGTATATGTAAATATTTTTCCTGGGAAACAAGATATTAGAAAATTGGATTTCTGCTGTGAAGAAACACACATTCAGTTAAAATCTGTAAATCACATAGAATTTGAAATGTTTAGATTAGAGCAGATCATGTTGTACTGCTAAATTTAACTATGAACACATGATTCATATTTTGAATTGTTTTTAAAGGAATCTTCTATCAGTTTCTGATCGGATTAGAGCTATTGAATCACCAGTAAACAACCCATTCTTGGTAGTGTCAAAAAGGATTCGTTGCATTCACAAGACTCACAAACGCATTAAATCCCCACTACACCAGAGACAAATACAGAAACATGGATTCACATATTTTGTCGGCTGGAAATGGACAACAGACAATAGACGTATTGAAGAATAACAGTTAAACACACATACACAAGCACACACAGCACTAAACAGTCTCCTGCGGCTGTTCCCTTTCTGCTACATTAGATCTGCACGTGGCCCTGGGGCCAGTCTTAATAATCATCAGAGATAACACTGCCAATTAGAATATTCATGACAAAGCCACTAAAGCGTCCTCCTCCAGCCCCCACCCCTCCCCTCCTCTCGCTCCTTTTGTCTAATAATGCAGTTTTTTTTCCCTGTTCAGATGAGTCAGTGTGGGGGCTTTATCTGCTCAGCATAGCGTGAGCCCCTTTACACGGATAACGCATTAGCCCTGCGTGACTCTGAGCACTCCGAGACGTGGGCACGTGGAACCGCTGCATACAGCCGCGGTCCGACAGCCACCCACTCGCCATTGGCTCCATTCCTGACAGTGGGAGACAGATATCGCCCCCAGCACGTCTCTGACCAAGCACTCAACAAATAAAAGAAACACTCTTTTTGGAAAAAATTAGGTTGACAGGGTAAATGCAGTGACGTTCAAGTGAGGTTTGCATGGTTTGATGGAGACAGAGAATAGAAAATAATTAATTCCCTGCTTTCACTATATGTTTGGGTTAAGGCATCAAGCAATACCTTCTGAAAAAAATAAAATAAAATATAAATATATATATATATGCGTCGGAGAGCGCTTTGGGAACGAGTATGCCCACGTCGCCAGACTTGCAAATCCCTGTCTAGTGTGGAAGAGCACAGCTAGGATGAGAGAACAGAAGAGCCAGGAGTGGCTCGCATATCTAGGCCTTAGAACCTGACAAACGTGAGGGGCGTGGACCATCCCACTGCGTTGCAGATGTCCTGTATGGACACACCTGCCAAGAAGGCCTTGGAGGCCGCCATACCTTGGGTCGAGTGAGCCTTGACCCTCAGAGGCGAGGGGAGATCAGAGGACTCGTAGGCAATAGTAATGGCATCAACTATCCACCGACTAAGGGTCTGCTTCGTAGCAGGAAGACCCCGCTTAGGGGGACCATAGCATACAGCAGTTGGTCCGCCCTTCTCCACAGGGCAGCTCTGTGGATGTATGCAGTTAAGCTTCTGCTGGTCAGGCTCCCTGAAGGGAGGAGGACAGAAGGCCTGTAGCATGATAGGCTGTGGTGTAACAGAGGGAACCTTAGGGACATACCCCGCACGAGGGTAGAGGAATACTTTGGCCATGCCGGGCGCAAAGTCAAGATACGAAGGGGCCACTGAGAGGGCCTGAAGATCCCCAACTCTTTTTAGAGAAGTAATCGCCAGTAGGAGGGCAGTCTTAATTGTGAGATAGTGATCAGAAATTTCTTCAATAGGCTCGAATGGAGACTTACAAAGAGCTTATAGCACCACAGCCAGGTCCCACGTGGGGACGCAAGATCGTACTGGGGGCCTCAGCCTCAGCGCACCGTGGAGGAAACGTGTAATTAGGGGGTGTCTGCCCACTGACTGGCCACCGAGAGGGGCGTGGTAGGCCGCAATGGC